AGAAGAGAGTGGAGAACTCCTGCCAAGTCAAAGGTGCTGCACCAGTCGGCCTACGCCTCTCATACGCCTCCTACCAAGTGAAGGCAGCCCCAGTAAACTGAAAAGTAGTAAAAGCCACACCACTGGACTCAAGGATCCCCGCTGTACGGAGCATACGCTGACACCTGTCAAGAAAACCCTGGGCATCCTCGCCCTCAGCACCACTGAATGTCGGAGGCTGGAGTCTACCAAACCTCTCAAGATGGCGCTGCTCATCCTCTGTCATAGCTGGAACCCTGAACTCCTGCACTGGTGCAACTGGCTGAGCTGGAGGTGCCTCTGGAGTCTGTAATCCCTGCACTACCTGCTCAGGTGTGCGAGCAGCGGGGGTCTGATTGCCTCCCCCAGCCTGCGAAGTAGCTGCTGCTGTGGTGGCTGAAACTGCCTGAGCCAGGCCAGTGCAAACTGTCAAAATCTAAGCCAAAGTCTCCTGAAAGCCAGGAATCACGATGGGCACAGCTGGCGCCTGAACTGGTGCTGCTGGAGCCTGATCCTGAACTGGGGCAACTGGTGGATCAACAGGCGCTGCCCCTGCTGCTCTGCCTCTGCCACGACCACGACCTCGTCCATGGCCTCTGGTGGTCTCAGTGGGTGGTACTGGTGGTCGTCTACCTCGTCCAGTAGTTCGTGTCCTCACCATCTGTGAGAGAATAGAACAAAGAGAAGTTTAGTACTCGGATCAACAAGTTCCCACGACAAGAATTTCAAGAATATGGAGTTTTCCTAAAGGTTCTGCACCCTCTCGAGGATAAGTACAGACGTCTCCGTACCGATCCGCGAGACTCTACTAAACCAGCTCATGACTTGTGAGACCTAGAAACCTAGGCTCCGATACCAACTTGTCACGACCCAAATTCCCAAACCCGGTCGTGACGGTGCCTCTCGTGAAGACAAGGACAGCCAGAACAACGCAAACACCTCCTTTAAAGCAATTAATTAACATTAGTGATTCTAACACATGCGTAATATAGCAAAGAGTGCGGAAATAGCAATAATAATAACGAGGGAACCCATCCCGACACAGCCCAAACCGGGGTGTCACAAGTCATCAGCTACTACAGAGTTGCTATAAGTCTAAGAAATAGAATATCTAATACAATAGTCTGAAGGAACTGAAATAACATAAAATAGGGGAGTCAAGGGGCTGCGGACGTCAACAGCTACCTCGAAGCTCCAACTCGCTGCCTGGTCTGTGAAGAATATCAGTGCACAGGAGCGGACTCTGCTATGCCTGAATCTGCACACATGGTGCTGGGAGTAATGTGAGTACTCCGACCCAGTGAGTAATAATAATAAATAATAACCGAAGGCATGAAAACACATAAGTGCACAAGGCAGTTCTATATCAGGCAGTAAATCACTTAAAGCAGTAAAACAGTAAAAGTCGAATGATATCTCCCTTTTAAAAACAAGTAAATCAGATAAAACAACAAATAAATAGTGAATAGAAATCTGCCCCTCGGGCCCAGTATCAACCGCCTCTAGACAGTATCAGCCCGTCGGGCTCAGCATCAGTCACTGAGCATAACATCAGCCCCTCGGGCTCACTCTCACATCACATGGGTACCCGCGCTCACTGTGGGTGTGCAGACTCCGGAGGGGCCCCTTACGGCCCAATCGCTATATCAACATAAGGCCTGAAAGCCTTCTGACATCACACTCGAGGCCTAAAAGCCTCCTCACATAACACTCGAGGCCTGAAAGCCTCCTCACATAACACTCGAGGCCTGAAAGCCTCACTTAGTCCAGAAACATCATAAGCCCCTCGGCATCATTAAAATAATAGTGCTCAGCCCAAGCAACAGTGGAAATATCATTAAAGTCTCGAAATTCAATTAAAGCGGCTGAGTTTGTAAAACAGTATAATCATTAGGACTGAGTTCAACTATCATATCAAGACAGTGAGGAAACAGTGATAACAATCCCCGAAGGATTCAAGTAGTCGGCATTAAGCCCAAAATATGGCAATAAGCCCAAATCATGATGATAAACAGAACAGCTCAATCAAATACGCGGTAAAATATCAAACGGGACGGACCAAGTCACGATCCCCAGTAGTAAACAACCCCGCTCTCGCCATTAAGCGTGTGTTTCACCTCAATATAGCACTACGTTGTGCAAATCCGGGGTTTCAAACCCTCAAGATATCATTTACTATCATTACTCACCTCAAGCCGACCAAAATCCTAGCTCCCTATGCCCTTGCCTCGCGAATCGACCTTCTCGCGCGTCGAATCTGATCCAAACCACAACGAATACGTTACAATAGGCTAAGGGAACATAACCCAATCGAAGAGAATCGAAAAACATCGAAAATCACAAAATTTGCAAAACCCGAGCCCCGGGCCCACTTCTCAAAAATCAGAAAAAGTTAACATCATCGGATTCCTTATCTCGCCACGAGTCTATACATACCAAGAACNTTAACTTTCTTCCAAGTCTGATCTGTACAAGCTTAGAGGGATATTGGTGATATATTCTTCGGATTCAGATAATGATTTGACTAACAAAAGTATGGAAATGCTAATCAAAAGAATTAAAGCTAAAATATTTTTCAGATTCAGACATTTTAGCTTTAATTCTTTTGATTAGCATTTCCATACTTTTGTCAGTCAAATCATTGTCTGAATCCGAAGAATATATCACCAATATCCCATTAAGCTTGTACGGATCAGACTTGGAAGAAAGTTGAAAACAAAACTTCCTATAATCTTTGTCATCATAGAGTCTTATGATCCCCGTTTTATGGGAACTGCCATGACCAATGGAAAATATTCCATCACCATCACCCTTGTCACTCTCAATTAAACTTCTTTTCTTCTTGGAAAATGAAGTAGAGAATTCCTCTATAATCTTTCTTTTATCTACTTAGGAAATGTTAAAATTCCTGCCTATACCATCACTAGTTGAAACACATGCCATTGCAGTCTCAACATCAATGTCGCTAACGAGAACAATAATTGATCAAAGGACACACCCTGTCAGCTACTGTATCCAAGTTATTCTCTGTATCCAAGTTCATCCCGAGTAATAGTACCACGAGGATAATCACCAAAGCCACCGGACAGCTTTATGATGCCAATGAAGCAAGATGAGTTATTCAATGAAACTCGTATTGTAAAGAAGAAGAAAGAGACTGATTCAGAAAGGTGGGTCGAGCCTCGACTATACATGTAAGTTTTTCACTTTTCATTAAGTATTTTGATTTACTTTTATATAAATTTTGAAATATTAATTCAATATAATTTTTCTTATAGGTTTGCTTCACAGCTGATGTGGGGGAATTCATACGCAGTCAGCCACCTAACGAGTTGGCCGAGGCAATCCAACTTTCGAACGAGGATACTAAAAGAACACTGCTTGAGTAGTTTATATACTTTGAACTAGACAATAGAACAAGTTTTCGAATGAGCTTGTAATAAACGTTAACTTAGTTTTGTTAGCTTAATGTTTTAGTTCTATTGATCTTTATATTTTGTTGCTTTTTAGTGTTGTGGTTGGCATAAAATGCCTGTTTAGGATATTTGGTATAAGCTGGCAGGTGGTGTAGCAGCCAAAACAGGCAGTTTCTGCCAAAAATATACCAAAAAAAGCGACCAACTTTGGTCTCCAGTTGGTCGCTTTTCACTTTAAAAAAAATAATTTTCTGGGCAATAGCGACTAGTCTTGGTCGCTATTGTATTTTAAAAAACAATTTCTGGTAATTTGGCGACCAACGTTGGTCGCTCATAGTTAAAAAAAAATTAATTCTTGCCATTGGCGACCAATTTTGGTTGCAAATTAAATAAAAAATTATAAAAATTACTAATATAGCGACCAAAGTTGGTCGCTTGATATGATTAACAATAAATAAAAATAAAACGTTATTTACATCTGGAGACCAACTTTGGTCGCCAAATTTATAATATTAAAATATTTGAGCGACCAAAGTTGGTCGCTATATGCTTTGCCCGGAAAATTTGGTCCTTTTACCTGTGAGACCAAAGTTGGTCGCTAATTAGCGACCAACTTTGGTCCCTAAGGTAAAGGGACCAGCTTAATATCGACCAGGCGTGTTTGGTCGCTTTTTGGCCAATAAGCGACCAACTTTGGTCGCTTTTTGTGGTCGCTTTTTTCCGAATTTCTAGTAGTGGGAGAAAAAAAATGTACCGAGTTGTGTTAGATTGCAGTTTTGTAGATTACTGATTTTGCCATTAACATTCCGTAAAATGGAACATAACTAGGAAAAAGATTACTATATAATACAACCAGATAATAATCATACTTTGGGTATCCAATTCAAATTTAGAGCCTGTTTGGATGGGCTTAAAAGTTGGTCAAACAAGCTTTTAAGCCCTTTTTAACTTGTGGAAGTGTTTGGCAACCAAAAAAAGAGCTT